GCTTCAACTCACGCCAGGCGCGTGTGCATGTGTGCCCAAGATCCTGAGAGGAGAATGGAGGAGAAGGGATAGAGGCGTGGTCACAATAACAGTGAACCAAGCATGGTCTCTTACTTTCTAAGAGGTTATAGTTTAATGAAAGCTATTCTTTAGTTTCTTTAGTCACAAATTTGTACCTTCTGAGCTGAAGAAGCCTAACTTAAACAGAGATTTGGGGACCAGCAGTTAGCGTAATGGCTATGTCGCTGGACTCCCATATAGTCGACCGCGGTTCGCGTCTCGGACCCGGTGGCTTAAAACTCACATCGGGTGCATGTGCGTGCATGCCCAAGATTCTGAGAGGAGAATGGAGGAGAAGGGATTGTGGCGTGTCCATCCCCCGTGGGGGGTGATTTCTCGCTTTCTGTCTCTCTGTCTGTCTGGCGAGCGCACGCACCCTATAGCAAAAACCTCCCAAAAGTAAAAAATAAATAAATAAAAACAGAGATTTTATTCCTCTGAGTCGCTGAAGGAGGTGAAGACTCAGGGCTTCACATTGATTTGGAAAACTTATCTGAAATCCGATGGTATCCTTCAACCCAGAGCTGGGAAACCTTGGAAAACTTGAAGAAAGATCTCAGAGTGTAAATCCCAGCATGGTCACCTCCTTGTTGTAACCACGTCTCCCTTGCCACTACTCGATTAAATCTGTGACATGGTACTATTTTACAATTTCTCATCTCACCTAGAACTGATAAAAAGGATGAAAAGAAGCAGCCAGGATCTTCTATACTTACTTTACTTCCTGGTGATACTAAGCGCATTTAGGAACCCCTTTCAACTACTGTGACCGTGTCTCTCTCACTGTTGGCTAGCCAGTTGAAATTCCTGAATCAATAGAAACACAGAGTTGGTCACAGTGAGTATGGTCCATCCCAATACAATTTAAAGGCTTTTGAAAAGCATTTTCCACGATGATGGTAGGAGGAGATACAGCAAAATAATAAACACAACCAAGCGCAGAAAGAATCCTGTGCCCGCAAGCCTTCCCCAGGTAAAGAACAGGAAAAACAGATGGAATCACAGTGACCCTGTTGTTTTGTAGGTTATAGTTGTATCTGTAAGCAGCTGAGAGTAGGAAACAAATATATCCTTGCATCTCAGCACCTGGAGGTGGTGCATGTAGTGGGTGATCAGCAGTAGTGGGTTGAATAGTGGAGGTTCTGGATTCTCTTAAAATTCTTTTACTGACCAGTGTGCAGAAGAGAGCCCAAGATTGAACATGCAGCCTTTGAAGCAGGGACTTGTTTTTCCTCTGAAGTCAGAAACCTGCACAACTGAGTACTTTGTATAATGAAGGTTCTTTTTCTGTATTCACCCAGGCGGGGCTAGACAGTCAGATGACATGCAATCTGCATTTAAACATTCTTTCCTTTCCACTTTAACAGTGTTTGTGTTTCCTGGGCACCTCCAAAAGACTCAAAATATTTACCATATATTTCTGTGCATTTAGGAAAAAGAAAGAAGAACACATGCAGTTTTTTAACATGCAAGTTATTTTCGGCAGGCAGTTCCTTTTCTGCAACACAAAGGCTTGATGTAAAAACAAGCAAGGGAGAATGTGCTGTTTTAACAAATTTATCTCCTTAGAGATAGATTCTCAAACATGGGTTTTATTTCCTGATCTAGCTTTTACCCTATCGCTTCACAACACTTACAGAAATCCTGAAATAAATCAGTGGCATTTGCGCAGTTTTTAAGGCTGACAGTTTAATTTTTTTCCTGTTTTGTCTATCACCAGGGCCAATGTCATTAGGTCATACCCATGTGAAAAGTTAGTTGGTCAAGAGAAACTCCAAATATATATGAGCTTTTTCAGGAAGATTTATTTCTACCGATGTTAATAGTATCATTTGCATAGAAAATTAATTCAATTAACTTACATAATTTAGAATGTTAATGTTGTTTCCCAAAATCCTAACAACCTAATTCAAGGGGAAATACATTCTATTTACCTTCATCTCGTGGTTAGAACAATTGCATTTTAAAATATTTTTAGCAGATAAACCATTGACCTTAAAACATAGCTTTTATTTGTACAGACTAGATGCCAGCCCAAGGAAAGATCATTCCAGGAGGAAGAAGAAAAATGTCTAAAAAGGCCTAAATTATAACAGAAATGTGAGCAGAGGGGAGCTATTCAGTAGCAATGCTCTGGCAAGGTTTTTGTTTGTTTGTTTGTTTGTTTGTTTCTGTTATAGGACACGTGCACTTGCCAGAAAGATGGAGAAAGACAGAGAGACAGAAAGCAAGAAATCATCCCCTCCCCCGGGGGGGGGATGGCCATGCCGCAATCCCTTCTCCTCCATTCTCCTCTCAGGATCTTGGGCACGCACGCACACGCGCCCAGCGTGAGTTTAAGCCACTGGGTCTGGGACTTTAACCGCGGTCGACTACATGAGAGTTCAGTGACGTAGCCATCCATTACGCTAACTGCTGGTCCCAGTCGCAATGCTCTGGAAAGCTGGCACACATGGGAAAGGCCTAAGTTTGCATCTGGAGACTCTCTGAACCCTCCAGGTATGCACATGCCATGACCTAGGACTGCCTGAGGCTAAGGTAGTTTGTGGCATCAAGAGCCTGTTGGGGTGTCTTGTCTCTCTCTGGTTTTTTCTCAGAAGAAAGAAAAAGAAAGTAATGGAAGCTGAGATAAAACTCTAGCATACATACTTTGCAGACTGTCTCTTACTTATTGATTTGTTTATTTATTGAGAGATGTTTGCTGTAAGGGACATACATTCACCATATGTGAGACAGAGAGAGGGGAAAGTGAAAAATATCACCCGTAGGGGGCATGGCCACACTGCAATTCCTTCTCTTCCATTCTCCTCTAAGGATTTCGGCCATGTGTGCACATATGCCCGGGCTGAGTTTCAAGTGGCCAGGTCCAGGACTTGAACCTGTGGTCAGTCACATGAGAGTCCAGTGCCTCAACCACTACACTACCTGTTGGTCCCTCTAATTTTATTTTGTAGAAAAGTTATTTATAATCCTTAGGTCTTGAGTATTTCCCAATAAACCTTTTACTAATGTACTAACAAATACCAGTTCCAGGCCCACAAGTATACTATTGCTTCGGCACGCCTAGAAATGTTAGGAAACATGGGGAATAACAGATTTCACAGGAAGAGACTTATTTACATTTTCTGAGAAATCTGGATATTAATGATCTCTTCTTTAATAAACTGAGAGTCTTGCTTTTATTCTGTGTATTAATTTAAGAAGTTTAGTAACTTAGGAGATTCTGTTTACCTCCAAAACTTAAACACCATGATGAACAGATACAAAAGGCTCAATTTAACATTTTACTGGCTGAATGTAAAGGTCAAAATTACCAAGCGTTATAGAAGAACCATTAGACATGTACAGTAGATCCCTTGTAGAAGTCATGAAGGAGAGCAGTGTAGGCAATGCCCGGAAGACAAATACAAAATTCGAGTTACTATCTATGACGGAAGCAGAGCAATTGTCCAGAGCTTGGCTGGGTTGCCAAAGAATTGAAAGGGCAAGCAGCTCTTTAAGAATGTGCAAGATAGCATGATTGTGCTCATGCAACTTTTGCTGAAAAGCAAAGCATGTTAAATACTAAGTGATCCACAGAATTCCTAGTCCCCACCCAGTGATTCTATTTTCAAATGAGCTAAGTGGGTGAGATAGAAGTCCGGAGACCTGGTTAATGCTGCCGTTCGTGAATCCACAACGTGAATGGAGCATTAGTATGAGGCCTCACTTGAACCATTTTGCTAAGAAAAAAAGGTGAGAACAAGTGAGATAGATAGGAAAAGATGGTAATTTTCCAGAAGGCAAGAGATTTGCCTTCAAAACCAAATGTACAGGGACCAGCAGTTAGCGTAATGGCTATGTCACTGGACTCCCACATAGTCGACCGCGGTTCGCATCCTGGACCCGGTAGCTTAAAACTCACGCCGGGCACGTGTGTGTGCATGCCCAAGATCCAGCGAGAGGAGAATGTAGGAGAAGGGATTGTGGTGTGGCCATCCCCCCTGGGGGGCGATTTCTCTCTTTCTATCTTTGTCTCTCTCTGTCTGGCAAGCACACGTGCCCTATAGCAAAAATCTCCCCCACCCCAAACAACAAATGTACATACTCAGATATGGTCCTGCAATTTTGGTTTCATGTATTAGCAGGACTAGGTTACAGGGTTACCAGTCTGAACCAAAAAAAAAAAAGGCCAGCAGTTGGCATGGAGGCTAAGGTAGCTGGATCCTACATACACATCGCAGCTCAAGTGCAGACCCAGCGGCTTGAAAACTGTGCCAGACACGTGTGCATGCGTGCCCCAAATCCCAGGAGAATGGAGGGACGGTATTGTGATGTGGACTCTTCCCCTGGGAGGTGATTCCTCATTTTCCCTCTTTCTCTATCTGTCTCTGTCTCTCTCTGGCAGGCACACACACCCTATAGGAAAACAAACAAATAAACAAACAAAAAAAAATATTTTTTTTAGACTTTGGTTTCCCTAAGTGACACTGAAGTAATATTTTTATAATATTCAGAACTTATAAGTGGCCTCTTGCTAGACTCCTAACAAGTTCTGTCATTTTCAGCTTTTGGTAGAATTCGGAGATGACATAGAGAGTCAAGCAGATCTGCTTTGCCTATGCCGTGCTTCTTGTTGTTTTGTTTTGTTTTATTAAACACTTTTGCCATAGGGCCTGTGCACTCACTGGAGACAGACTGAGAGAGACGCAGTAAGAAGCAAAGTGAAAAATGCCCCAGGGGGGATGGCCATGCTGTAACCCTTCTCCTCCATGGTCCTCCTGTGATTTTGGGCAGGCACGCACATGCATCCAGCGTGATTTTCAAGCCACCAGATCTGGGACTCACTGGACCATGTGGGAATCCAGAGACTTAAACACCATGCCACCTGCTGGCCCCCATGATCGTCCTTTAGCTGTGATAGAGGACCTACTGTGACATGTTGTGCTTTTCTTTTGCAGGGACTCTACGTTTTTGTGGTTTATTTCATTTTACATAACCAAACGTGTTGCCCGATGAAGGCCAGTTACACAGTGGAAATGAACGGGCATCCGGGACCCAGCACAGCTTTCTTCACTCCCGGGAGTGGGATGCCTCCTGCGGGAGGGGAGATGAGCAAGTCCACCCAGAATCTCATCAGCGCCATGGAAGAGGTGCCTCCGCTTCTCTCTGTGTGCCTTTCGCTGTCTCTCACTTTCTCTTTCTCTCTCGTCGGCCTTCTCAACTCCTAAACAGGACAAGATAGATGATACTATGTGACTTTTAGATCCTTTACCTGTTGGCACCCTCAGCCCGGCAGTCCTGATTTCTTTACGCCCGTTATCTGATTCTTTGCTTCCCTGTCCTGTGACCAGTAGTTTGCCCTGGGAAGTCAGATAAAGCATAATTGGCATCTCTTTCTTCAAAATTGTCCTAGTCTGACATGGTAGTGACTAAGTTTGACTAAGACATGGTTTTTTAAATGCAATTCCTCCTCTAAATACTCTTTCTTCATCCATCCCAACTCACTACTTTAATCCCAACACACCTCCCATGATGGGGGGGGGTTGGGAGGGTGAGGCCTAAAATTCCATTTCAATACCAGAAAATATTTTAGAACAAAGGCTCAAAACAGTGCTTTCGCAGCACAACTGGAAAATCCAGCCAGGATTTCCTCTGTAAAATCTCCCTCCCACTGCTGTCTGCATTCTGTCCACATCATTTTGATTTCCTGTGTCTGAATCACAGGGCCACCACCCTGTCAGTAACAGTGCCCACAGCCCTGGGGCCAAACCTACCTGAATGCACTTGGCCAGGAGAGGCAGAATGCAGGTCCCTGACGATTCCTGCAGAGCCCAAGAGGTGCTTGGCTACACCCCTTACACAGTGCATATCACTTGTTCTGTGTTAAGGAGCCAAGGGGAACAGTATCTGTGTTTGCATCCTGAAACATGGTCAGGAAATCAAGGTACGTTTATCTGAAAGGAAACAGTTTGTAGACACATAGATAGGTAGGTAGACAAATAGCCTACTTGACCAGAGATTTTTTTTTCCCCTCCAAGGCAATGTAGAAAATAATTTTATCCATTTTGGTTTTGACATTAAGGCAATGATCACAAATCAAGTACTACAGATAGATAGATATTTAATTCCAACATAAAATGTAACAGAAGCAGTTATTATCTAGTGACAGGAGAACAGAGGTTAGAAAGATAGCTGCCAGGGCTGAGGGTTGGGAGAAATGGGTGGACTTTGGTTAAAGGTACAAAATTTTACTTATAAGATGAATGATAAGTTCAAGTATAATAACCTTAAAGTAGGATATATCTTTAGTATCTTTAAATGGAAATCTAGTATCATTCTATATCCCCAAAGTTCTTAATACTGAATATTTTTATTATAGTTAGTACCCCAAAAAAGATTTTTTTAGGATCAATAATTTAGAAATGAATCTTAAATTTTTTTTGTCTAGATTCAAATCATCAAATACAATAGCCATTAACCACTTGTGCCTATTTAATTTAAAATAAAATTAAATAACATTAAAGAATCAGTTCATTACACACTGGGGCTACATCTTTTTAAAATTATTTAATTTTATTTATTATTTTATTATTATTATTATCATTTTAATTTGCTATAGGGCACATGCCCTCATCATGGAGAGACAGAGAGAGAAAGAGAGGGAAAATGAGAATGTAAGCCACCAGGTCTGGGACTCAAACCACAGTTATCCATTATGCAAGTCTAGTGCCTTAACCACCACACTACATCTTAAGTGCTTACCAGCCAGATCTGGTAGCTGCCTTACTGCAGAATGTCAGTATAAATGTTTATGTCATGCTAGCCCCGTAGCCTCGTGGTTAAGGGAGTCAGATCCCACAGGGTCGACTGTGGTTTATTCCTTGCCCTGGTGGCTTAAGAAAGCATGCCAGGCACACAGCCATGCATGCCCCAAGTCCCAGCAGGATGGAGAAGTGGAGGAGAAGGGCTTGCAGTGTGATCATGCCCTGTGAGGGGTGCTTTCTCTCTCTCTGTCTCTCTGTTGCTCTCTCTCGTGAGCAGACATGCCCTCTGGCAATCAAAAAGAATTGCTGTCTCATCAAAGAGTATCCTACTGGACAGTGTTGGTCTAGATGTTAAACTTCTTAATGAAAATTTTTTAAGGCTTACTTTCTCCTCTCATGATTATTTCTAAAGTCCGCAGTTTACTTTGCTCAGTATGAGGTGGGTCTGTCCCTGCAGTCTCTCGGGAAACCTTATGTTGTTAAGCGGCAGCTGCAAGGTCCAGTTCCTGGGCCTGAGCCATGACTTGAGCATTCATTTGGGCTGTTGCACAACAGCAGGGCCTAAAGTGTGCTCTGCATTCCTCGGAGGCTTAGAATTGGCCATGATCCAGCTGTCAGTGAGGGACTGTCAGACATTCTAAAGAGAACAGAAAGCATAGGAAGGGAAGGATTAAGGGGTTGTTTACCAGTAACCCCAGGGAAGTGAATACATTTAATCTTATCAGAGTAGAACTACCATTTAAATCATGTGATCTAAAACAAGGAGGGGTTTAGAATGCTATGAAAGAACTCTTCTTGTCTCAAGTCAGTATGTCCTTAAAGATATCAACTATCTTTGAAATCTTGTGTGATATTTTAGGTTAAGAATGAAAAGGATCTCTTGCCAATTATCATTATTATTAATTTTAATTTGACCAGAGAGGGACAGAGAGTAGGGGGGGGAGAGAGAGAGAGAAAGCCACCAGGCCTGGGACTCGAACTGTGGTTGGCCATGTGGAATCCAGCACCCTTAACCACTAGGCCACCGGCTAGCCCTGCCAATTATTATTTCTAACAGAGTTTTCTTTGCATATATCTTTCAAAAAATATAATAACATGCATTTACTGGGTTTAAAAAAAAAACAGCTTCCTGGGGTTTTCCATGACCCAATGGCGATGTGCTGTTCAAGAGACGCTAAACTCCTCGTAGTGATCTTGGTTCAAATCTGCATCCTGATCACCTGACACACAGCAGGCAGGTGTGCAAATGCCCAAGAGCTGACTGGCAGATGGACTAGAGGAAGGGATCATGGTGTGACCAGACCCTGGGGGTGGTGTCTCTCTTTTTCTACCTCTCTCTCTCGCTCTCTGTCTCTCTCTCTCTTATATATGCACATGATCTGTCATGAGTAAAGAAATAACTTCTCCTTCCCCTTTCCCACGTGTGTCAGCATAGAAATCACAAGTGACTCTAGTCGAGAGATTGTTTGCAACCACCAGATTAGATTGACTTGAGGAAAGACATGGTTTTCTAAGGGACAAAGATGAAAATTAAAGTCTTAATTCGAAAACAAGCAGCCCTTTCACAAAGTTTTCGTAAGGAGATTCAGAGACAAATTACTCATACGGGTTTAGAGTGAACATGTATGTGTTCATGTTACGTTTTCTTTTTCCTATCCCACCCAAAAAGGTGCCACCTGACTGGGAGAGAGCATCCTTTCAACAAGCCAGTCAGGCCAGTCCTGACTTAAAGCCAAGTCCGCAAAATGGAGCCACATTCTCTTCCCCTGGAGGATACGGCCAGGGGTCGCTGATAGCTGATGAGGAGTCCCAGGAGTTTGATGACTTGATATTTGCATTAAAAACTGGTATGTATGTACCCACAGACCCCAGGAGAGGTAGGCGTTCTCGCTCGGGGATGCTTTCTCCCTCTCTTTGTCTCTCTGTTGCTCTCTCTGGAGAGCAGATATACCCTCTGGCAATCAATGCATATCTTCTTCCCTTCAAGTTGCAAAAATACCCTCACCCTTTGCACATCCCGATTCTCCCGATCAATTCCTCATCCCAGCCAAACCCTGGGATGTTTTGTTCTTGGCACCAAATGTAACACAACCCAAAATACAATTTGCTTTTAAGAAAAAAAGCATATCCTAACTAAATGTAAATATCCCCATCCTGGAATCTTGGTAGGATGCCAAGATGCTGTGGAGACGAGTCCATTATGAGACAGTTGATTGAGATCTCTCTAAGGCGGTTTTTAGCCTCTGCTCTGCCAAATAGACCTTATGGGGTATTTTTGGAGCAGAAACTTGGAATAACAATGTAATGAGCATTATACAGTTCTGTAGTTTGTAATGGGCCATCACATACAGTATCTCATTGATCCTTCCCATTTCCCACTCATCTTGTAACCCTAGTGGGTAATTTATGCACAATGAGAGGAAAATAGTCCCAAAGGCCCCGTCTGGTAGCATACAGTGCCGGATACGTGAAGGCACGTAACAGGCCACGGAACTACCTGATGAAGGTCACGCGCTCCCAAGGGAAATAATTAGTGCACGCCATTCTTTCTACTGATACTAAATTATGTCTACACTTACATTATACATGTAGAAGATGTCTCATTGCCAGACATACTATTTGGAACACTAAGAGAACATTTTGCTTTCAAATGAAACATGTAGTTTTTAAACTCACATTCGGAAAAATGTTGAGCTGTCGCCATTACGAACATTTCAATGAACTTTTAATTTCTAGGTATTCAAATAAGTAAGAAGATATGCCCATGCTCAGATGAACTTATAGAAATATTCAAAAGTACATTTTATAATATTAGTTTGATTGTCTGCCTATAAGGTATACTAGAGTATTTCAAAACATTTGTGGAAAAAACTCAAATTACAGTATAAATTTGATGCAAATAAATTTTGAAATGTATACATAAGATTTTTCCTGATACATATTTGCTAAAAGGATTTTTTGATCAATATAAAGAAAATTAAATGTTTTTAAACCATTTATTTATTAATTTATTTATTATGATTTTTCAAGCCACTGGATCCAGGACTCAAACCACGGCCAGCCTTGTGAGGTTCCAGTGCTTAACACCATGACACCTGCTGGGCCTGTATGTTGCATCTGAAGGATTACTTCAACAGTCCTAGGAATCATATTATACTTTCATGTTTTACAACTTGTCCACAGCTACACAGTTAAGGGGTTCAGGATTTGTGGTGCCACAAAGCAAATCAAGTCTGCCTGCTTCCTGAATCTGTGTTTTCTTTTTTTTTCTTTTTCTTTTTTTTTTTTTAGCAGAGTTTTTGCTATAGGGTGCGTATGCTCACCAGAGAGACAGAGAGACAGAAAGTGAGAAATCATCTCTCACAGGGGATGGTCATGCCACAATCCCTTCTCCTCCAGTCTCCTCTCAGGATTTTGGGCGCGCACAAACATGCACCCTGTGCGAGTTTCAAGCCACCAGGTCTGGGACTCCAGCCGCAGTCAACTATGCGGGAGTCCAGCAACATAACCATTACACCATCTGCTGGTTCCCTGAGTCTGTGCTTTCAACCAGGATGCTACACTGCCGCTCAGCTACTTCCTTAGGAACGGCAAATCCTACTGAAATGAATAAGACTTTGATCCTATATTGAGAATAATGCTTAGTACTAGGTAAGCCTTTGGTAGATATTGTTGAGTAATGTATGAATAAATAAATGAAGAAATGAAATTTAGTTTGCTGGGAGGAATAAGCAGTCACACAAACACGACACAAAGAAGAATAAATAATGGAGAGAATTATACATTACAGAGATCAAGGGAGGGATAAAACCCTCTCAATTGAATCTTGAAAAATGTGTACATTTTAAATAGGTAAAGGATGGAAGAAAAGGCATTACTGAAGAAATGGAATTAGCCAAAGCCCAGAGACTTAACAGTGTGTGACTGGAGTCGCAGGTGAGAGGAGCTGGGCAGCAGGAAGAAAGCCTGGCAAATAGTTTCCTGCATTGTCAGGAATCCACTGTGGTTTCCAGAGTGGGTGTCAGTGATCCCAGGGAATAAGGGTAAAGCCTCAGATAAAAAGGAGAAGATGAGCACAAGATGAATACCAGGGGAGAACTGAGAGGACGGATGGCGTAAGCTCGTGCTTCTCACCTGAATCGGAATCATGTAAGGGCGTTTGTTGATTTGTTTGTAAGGGCAGCTAGATGAATTCAGGGGACATTCGGCCTAGGGGTTCCTCACTATTAAGGTTTGGATCTTTGAAGAGGGACCAAGGTGGGAAGTAACGATTTGAGCGTATCAGTACAGAGATTGTATCTGACACTGTAGACTGGATCATTTTGATCTGGCAGAGCAGAAGGCAGAAAGAGATGAAGAAGGGTGGGTAGAGGATGGAGGCAGGGAACAAGGAGAAAAGAACATCGTAGAGAATACCTACACTTAGCGTGGATAGAAAAGGATTCTACAGAGAAAGTAGCAAAGTCAGAAAGAAAACGAAGAGAAGAAGAGTTTGAGGAAGGAGGGAATGATCAGCTATATAAAACCCTACTTAGTGCCAGCCTGTGGCATGGTGTTTAAGACAGCTGGATCCCACATGGCTGAGCACACAATTCGAGTCCCCAGACCTGGCACCTTGAGAAACACGCCAGGTGCATGTACATTTGAGCCCAAAACTTCAAAAGGAGGAAACAATGGAGGGGTCCTACTGTGACCATTCCCTATGGGGGAGCTTTCTCACATCTCTCTCTTGCTCTCTCTCGTCTCTCTCATCCCATGCCCTTTGGAAAATTAAAAAAGCATAACGAAACACCCTAGTTAGAGTTGGTACTGAAAAAGGCTTTCAGAACACAGATATTTCTCAGGGCAGACTGTCCCAGCTACAGTATTCTCAGTTGTTGATGTTCAGACACTGGAAATAAAGTGAATTCTTGGAGCATAATTAAATTAGATCTGCTTGCTATATATACATGAAACAAGTATTAAATACATCGGGGTCAAGAATGTATGGAATGACTTGCTTACTTATAGATTTAGTAAGCATTCTTTAGAATTCCCTAAACTCATTAGGAAATAAATACTTTAAAAGACAAAAATAACATCTCTAACATTAGTTGCCTACATTTTTAGAAAAGATACTATAATAATCAAGCACCACCCCTTGAACACTTTCCATCGTAAAATATGGCCAGATAAAGAGCAGCCCACATGCCATTCCATTTATGGCCGAAAATATAATTGACCATGAGCCAGGTAAATTCACCAAGGTGTTTTGTTTAATCCACGTAGCTTTCCGTTGTTGTTGTTGTCGTTATAGGGCATGTGCCCTCACTGAAGACAGACAGAGAGAGAGACAGAAATCACCCCCAGGGAAACTGGCCATGCCACAATCCCTTCTCCGCCATTCTCCTCTCAGGGTTTTGGGCACACACACACATGTACACAGTGCAGTTTTTGAAGCCACCAGGTCCGGAACTTGAACTATAGACTCAGCCATGTGGAATCCAGCTGCCTTAACCTCTGTACCACCAGCTGGCCCAACTCACAAGTGAGAAAGCAAGCCACCAAGTTCAGGACTCAAACCGTGGTCGGCTGTGTGGGAGTGTCCAGCGCCTTAATCACTATGCCACCTACAGACACCCCCCCCTGAACCACTATGCCCCCTACACCCCCCCCCCCCCCGCCATACATTATTCTTTTAAACTAATCCAAAGACATCTCAATATCTTAGCAATTTGATTGCCACTGTTACTCATTTTTTTAAAAAAAGAATTAATTCATTTAGTGTTATTTAGAATCTTTTTTTCTTTTTCTTTTCTTTCTTTTTTTTTTTTTTTTAATTTGACCAGAGAGAGACAGAAGCAGAGGGAAGGGAGTGATAAAGCAAGCTGCCAGGTCCAGGATTCAAATTGCAGTTGGCCATGTGGGAGTCTAGCACCTCAACCACTATGCCACCTTCCAGCCTCTTGTTGCTCTTTTTTGTTTGGTTGGTTTTTTGGAGAGATTTTTGCTATAAGGCACATGCGTTCACTAAAAAGACAGAGAGGCAGAAAGTGAGAAATCGCTCCCCCATGGGAAATGGCTATGTCGCAATCCCTTCTCCATTCTCCTCTCAGGATCTTGGGCATACACACACAAGTCACTGGGTCCAGGACTCGAACCGCAGTCAGCTACGTGGAAGTCCTGCGACTTAACCATTATGCCATCTTCTGGTCTCTAGTCATTTTAAAATAATATGAACAGGCCTTCTCTTCCTTCCTCTGCCATCGTGGTGTGAGCGGTCCACTGGGCTCTTTGTCATGTCTTCTCACAAGACTTTCAGAATCAACGGCTTCTGGCCAAAAAACAGAAACATAATCGTCCTATTCCTCAGTGGATTAGAATGAAAACTGGTAATAAAATCAGGTACAGCTCCAAGAGGAGACACTGGAGAAGAACCAAGCTGGGTCTATGAGGATATGGATATGGGCCACATGTTTATGCTGTACCAAGGTCACTATGGTCTTGCCACATCAAGCTGAAAATGGTCACCATTGACTGGACACTTGTGTTTACTGGGAAAAAATGATGCTTCACCTTGTCTCTAAGTTCTGCATCGGTAGGTTGGTTCAGTAATAAACATGTGAGACCTTTAAAATATATATATATATATATATGTACAGGCTCTTTTTTACAGTGGGATCTTTTGTATCACTCCCCTTTCTCCTTGAACTTACATTTTCCTTCTACTTCCTTTACAGAATTTTACCCTACTATGGTATATTTTATGCTTGAAATTCATTTACTCCTTATCTATTCATATTTCTCTCCAGCCTATCATGTATATAAATTGAAGCTTACATTTTTTTCTAGTGATCATGAAAGTCTA